CGTCTACCTGCATATCTGCGCATGTGCTACCGTACATCATCTTACTTAATCTCCTGATTGGTCTTTCTGTCCGCTCTGCCTCTTCGTTCAGCTGATATGCTAATTTTTCGACTTCGTCCTTAATTTTTGCACACCAGTGTAAATTACAATATTTCATAGTAATGCTAATGTTTTCTTAACACTATTTGTTCGATTGTATGCGCAAAGTCTGAATACCAACCTGTATCATGAACAGAATAATCGATTAATATGAATGATATACGCTATAGCACTTAGGACGTTATAACCGAATCCGTGCATCCAAATATAACGATAATCCGTGTATCCAATATTGCACCGAGGCCACTGAAGATTGGAAACCGCAATATGATTTTAATCACCAAAAGTCATAAAACCCAAAACAGAACACTATTTAACTATATAGACATATTAGCAGTTGCAAGCAGATATTCGCGAACAAATAAAGCAAAATTCGGCATTACAACGAGATTCTCCTCAACAAATAACTACATCATTATATTTTTGTAGTCGTTCTCTTTCTGTATTGAAGCTTCCAGTATTTAATTCCGACGGTGAATTACAAACGTGAAGAAATATTTCGAAATAAAATGAGTCTGAAATTGTTGCATGTTAATGACTTGTTCGAATTTGCAGCTAGCAAAGCGCGCAAGCCTCGACCTCAGATATTCGGTTATATAATCATCCAGTAAATATGTACATGGAATGTCAATCTCTCGAACAGCAGTCAGTCTAACTTTTCAGTGGTTATACGATGGCATTAAACCTTTCGAAGGTTCTTCTGATAATTAATAGAATCTTTTTAAATGGATAGAAGAATTTTTTAATGAAAGAATTAAACAATGTTCACAAGATTATATTGTTACGAATTTGGTATTAAAAAAGCTAATGTTAGTTCAATTATAAATTAAATGGTTTATTTCCCGCGCAGTGCAGCGCGTGACGAATATTAAAAGAAAGCTAAGCCGAAAATTGAAAATACAAAGCGCGTGCATTAAACATTAATAAATATCTCTTTTTGATTCGCGAAAGTACTAAAAATTGCTCGCACGGATTTTTAAAAATCTTATAAAAGAGGAAAACATCTTAGTTCGTATAGTTTCTTGTTTGTTGTTGTTTAGAAAACTGCTCTTGTTGATTGTAGTGAATTCGCGGATTAGCTTTCTTCAGCTGTTTTGAGTAAAGTCTATTGAACGTTTGAGTAGTTAAAAGATACTTCTGGAGATATTGTAATACTGCACGCTAATTGAGGAAATTTAAGCATATTTTGTTGTGATAATAAAACGGACTTGTGCATTCATTTCATAACGAACCCGTACGACGCAACAATATTTACAAAACAATATTATCGGGCTCGCTAAAACATTTGTAATGTCGATATCGCCAAAATCCCGTGTGTACCGATACTGATTAAACAAGCATTTTTAAATGCTGGAGATGGACAAAAACGTAACAACACAACAGTTCATCAGATTTTATAGGTAATGAATTTCGTATTTTTGTTCACAGCTTCTCTAATTTTGATGTCACATTTATTGTAATTTATCAAAGTCATTAATTTTGTCGTTTCCATTAAAAGTGTTATATTTCTTCTCCTTTTTTAATTTCCGTCAGATATTTAGACAGCCGTTAAATATGCTGGATATGCACGTTTTTTAACATTGGACGTTTCTCGGAATTCTTAAATCGCCCATTTAATCGTGAATACCTCTAACGCACAATCATATCTTAGCGAAAATTTACTTTTGCTGTGAATGCGTAAAATGTTTCATATTATGTCAGCATATTAATTCAAATAAATTCGTCCTATCAAAAATAATAATAAAGTCCTATTTCAGCAGTAAATTAATTGCTAACATGTGATTTGCATTGATTTCGAAAATATGATTTTTTAAAATATATAAAATGCATAACTTAACAACTTATTTCATAGCTTAGTTTCATTTTAAAATATTTTGCTATAATATTTATAAAAAAATGTTTTAAGCATTAATTATTGTAACAAAATTTTAACCATACTTTAGCACGTATTTTGGACTAATTAAATTTAATAATTCAAGTTTATATTAAATTTATATTTCATTAGATGAATATACCTTAGATTAATATATTTAGATGAAATAAATGAACATTGCAAATAATCTTATGCGGACTTTAGATTCTTGAAAGAGCAGATTTAGTCTCTTTTCATTCTAAAAGTAACGCTGATGAACTATGAAAAAGATGCTAAATCGACCACGTGTAAAAGCGGTCATATCATGACGTTTCAGCATCATCGACAAATTGCCAAGATGCAACGGCAAATATTTTGCTTGTTCGCAGCTTTGTAAAGAGGTCGTAAAAGTTAACACGACCACTTTGCAACCTCTCGGACCACTTGCAACCTCTCGGACCACTTTGCAACGTCGTTAGGACGTTGCAGTGCTACTTGGGTATCATTTATGTTAGAAGATCTCAAAATATTTTTAAATTTTACCAAACTAAATGGATTAATAGATAAATTTCAAATTAAAAAAGATAAAAAAACCATTTCACTCTGATGACAAAATTTTTTCCTTAATTTTTGTTTTTACAAATTCAGTTTAACTATGTAATAACAGACTTTTAGCGAATCTTTTATAAAATGTTAAAAAGTAATTCAATGAAATTAAGTGAATATTCAGACAGAGCTAGGTATTAATATATTCCATGTTTCAACTGAATATTCAAAGCATACATTTAAAAAATAAAAGGCATTATTTGATGAAGCAGAGGAGAAAAAGTATCATTGGACTCTTTGAATAGAATATTTATATGCTTAAGAATAGAATATTAATGTTACATTATATTGTTACAGATTTTGTATTTATTAGCTATTTTTATGGAATTGTTATTAAAATTGTTTTATTTCTCCGTGGCAATGCAGCGCATGACGAGTTTCAAGAGAAAGATACGCCGAAAAAGTAAAAAATCCAGGAGATTAATAATAGTTATCTGGTAACTTATATTTAAATTGAATAAATGCAGTTGCGTGTTAGCTGTAACTTTAATTTTTCTCTTTTGCCTTCCAGAAACCTCGAGAAAGAAAAATTACCGACTATTCTCGTGCATGTTGAAAAGCTTTAAAAGTAGGATAAAACTTCTCAGCTCAGTTGGAGCTGTTGTTGTTAACTTGGCTGCTGTAAATTTTGATCGGATTAGCTCTCTGGATTGTGTTCTATTTAAGATTTTAGTAGTTTAAAATATAGCTACTATTATATTTGCGATATGTGCTATTATACGAATATATTTGAGGAAAATCCCTGCGTTTGTTTTTTAATCTTGTGATAAGAATAAATTTTGTTAACTTTTTATCGACTTGTGAATTGAATCTACACTCATGTCCATAAATTAAGGATAATTCGGAGTCATGCGGAAATCGAACTCTAAAATAAATATATCACCTGTAAAATCACTACACACATCTTCAAGAATCATATGCAAATTTCAGTAATTAACCAGACACTTACGAGAGTGTAAGAGAGTGATATATAAGGAATACAGGCAAAGAAGTAAAATTGTTCGCAGGCGCTTTATAAGCATTTCAGTGCAATAACCGAATAGTTATGACACAAAGGACGCATTTGGATGAATTTTTACGGGGTAGAATTATCGGCCGTCTGGAATGTGGGCGTACCCAACTGGAAGTATCAGACGAACTTGGAATTGTCCAGAGTGTCATCTTCAGGCTTTGGCAATGATTCGAAGATGATGGTAATGTGAGTAGACGTTTACAGCACAGGTCGTCCCCAGAGTTACAACGCCGAATGAGGACCGGTATTTGGCAGTTACTGCCAAAAGAAACAGGCGGAGCACAGCCTCAGACCTGTCTCGTCAGCTCTCTTCAGCCACTGGTACGACAATTTCAAGGCAGCCGGTGTACAGACACTTAGGGCAGATTGGTCTATATGCTCGTAGACCTGTCAGATGCGTTCCACTTACTGCAACTCACTGTCGCCTGCGGTTAGCCTGGAGTAGAGAGCATGCATTGTGGACACCGCAAACAGTGGGCTTGTGTGATGTTTTCCGACGAGTCCAGGTTTAGCTTGCAGTCTGATTCTCGCCGGACTTTCATATGGAGAGCTCCAGGTATCCGTTACCATCAAGGAAACATCATTCATTGAAAGACACCGTTACGGTGGTGCAGGAGTGCTCGTTTGGGGTGGAATTATTCTGGGTTCCAGAACTGGACCTGCATGTTCAAATTGGAACCATTACAAGCCAAATCTATCGAGACGTCATTCTGGAACAACATGTACGTTTGTTTCGGGACGCCATGGGCGCACAATTTGTGTTTATGGATGACAACGCCCGTCCTCACCGTGCAAACATCGTAAGCGAATGCCTTCTCTCGGATGATATCGACCGTATGGACTGGCCAGCATTCTCATCGGACTTGAATCAAGTAGAGCCTGTGTAAGACATGCTTGGCAGACGAGTTGCAGCCCGTCAACCTCCTCCTACATGTCTACCGGAACTTCGGAGAGCATTGCTTTTTGAGTGGTGTAATATCCCCCAAGACCAGATCGATAATTTGATACTCAGCATGCCTAGGCGTTGTACGGACTGTATTGCATCGTCTGGGAGACATGCAATGTATTAACAATCATACCAACCATGTAATATTGGTTTTTTGTAAATAAGTTTTTTTTTTGTAATTTGTTCCAGGGAGAAAAAATCGCTAATTTTTTTAATAATATCAAACATATAGCATCTTTTTTTGCTCTTTACCTTTTGTTTAATAATTAAGCTTTACAAATAAGTCAAATTTGTTTTGCTTCTAACTCTTCCTTTGGCTGATTTTGCATTATCCTTAATGTATGGACATAAGTGTATTATGAGCCGTACGCAAGCAACAATATTTAAAAAATCTTAACTAATAGTTTGAAGTCTAATTTAATTTCTTTGCGAAAATTACATGCACTTAATAATTTAGTATAAGAATTATAAAATAATTTCTTTACCTTATGATTTGCATTTGCATTCTTATACAGAGAGTGAAAATCAAGCCAGCCAGTGTTCCTGTTTGGGAAAAAAATGCTTAGATTAAAAACAAAATAAACCATAAAGATGCACATGCTTATAATAAGGCCATGAATTATTTAAATATTTGAAGTTGAATCCTGCGAAAGATGCTAGAAAATCCGTGATTTCCGATGGTACAGACTCATTATTTGAAACCCTCCCTCGAATTTGAGTGTTGAGGCGAGTCAGTAATATGGGATACAGTGGGTGATCGGTTAACGAACAGTTCGGACTGCGAACAAATCGGACAACGAACACTTTCAGGAAAGATTTTTGTGTTCGGACAAAGAGCACATATTCGGATAACGAACTAAAAGGAATTCTAACGAACACTTATCGGCTCTCAGAGCATTATGTGCAGGGTTGCCATCCTTCGTTCAAGGAGACGGAGGTGATGAGGGAGACACCCCTGAAATTATGGATGAAATTTTGATAACTGCTAGAGATCTGGAATTGGAGATGAACGAGGGTGATATAGAAGAGCTCATAATGAAACATGAAGATGAACTGACGACAGAAAATGTTTAACAAATCTTGAATGAAGAACACCAAGAAACACAACGAAATGTGTTTCATCCTGAACAAGAGGAAGGCGAAAGAGGACCAATGCCCACATCTGCCATTAAAGATCTTTCAAAAAAGTGGGATGATGTCAGAGCAATGGTCTTAGAATGGCACCCACCAAGCTGATGTGAGTAGGGTTGGCGATCTTTACAACGACAATGCTATTAATCACTTCCGGAAAATCCTGAAAAAGAGAGAAAAGCAATCGACATTGGATATGTTCTTTAACGCACCATAAAGAAAAAATGAAATGGACTGGTTAATATGCAAAACTATATATATGTATTACTTTTAAATAAACTTACTAAGAAATTATACATCTTTATATTTAATTTAATTTTTAGGGTCTCCAGAACGAATTAATCGATTTCACAAAAAAAGCTATGGTAAATCGATGATCGGTTAACGAACAATTCGGATAGCGAACATAATCTTGTAACAGATTATGTTCGTTAACCGATCACCCACTGTATATTATGTAAGCAGCATATGCGAAAAAAAAAGAACTGAAGACAGTTAAATAGTGTTGCTGCTCGTAGTAGAGAAATATGTACAGCGTTATTTATAATACTGGTGAAACCTTTTAAACTTCATAACAAATAAACTAAACAACCAATAACAACTTTTTACTGAGACACAGGTAAAGTCATTATTATTATTATTATTTACGCATTTCACAAATGCTTAACGTATCCACTTTTGTTGCTAGAGCAGACTGAGAAAATTTACTTGGACATACAGAAGAGCTCCAGGCTTTCGACCTTCACTAATTCGACATGGCCGTCAGAAAAAAAATTCTTTAAAATATCACAAATTAATGAGCGTGTACACGAGTAAGTAGTATGCTCTCTTCATTGCTCACCCAGATTCTATTAGTGTGAGTCAGTATACGCTGCACTCAGCAGTATGCACTTACACAGTTCGTTGACCTCAGTACCAAGTTTTATCTGCCGATGAGTTGACGTTTTGTTTTTTCGTTGTTCCTGTGACAATATTCTTTTGCAGTACATTATTTTTACCCAGTATTTATGCATCGTGTGAGTTGTGATAACTTCAAAGAGAAAAAAAATTGAGTGCAATCGAAGAAAAACTGAAATCTTTGAAGAGATTAGACAAAGGTGAAATATTATTAAAAGTGGCACAGGTTAATAACATAGGAAAGTCAGAGTAAGGGACTGGTAAAGAAGCCGAAAGCAGATAGAAGAGTAATGTTTCGAGCAAGCGACAGCTAACGCTATAGAACAAAGAAGAATGAAAAAATGAGAGTACAGAAAAGTTATTCAAGTTTTGTTTCTTTCGCTTGGACCCCATCTTACAGGAAAGAGCCTTGAAATGCAGAAAGGAATTGAATGAAAGTCACCCTAATTTTACAATTAGTGTTTGTTCGCTTAGTAAGTGGAAGAAAAAGCATAGTATACAGCAGCTAACTGTATGTGCAAGAAAAGCTTTTAGCAAACGATGACTTGCTAGAAAGCTTCAGAGATTAGTTCCATAAATTGTTAAACAAGGAAAACCTGACTGGCGGCCAAATTTTAAATTGCAATGACACGGGAACAAATTACACAATGCTACCCGCTAAAATACTCGCAAACAAGTCTAGAGCTACAGCAGCTGACTGCAAGCGAAATAAACAACGATTAACGATCCTTGCGTGAAGAAATACCATACCAAATCTTAAAACGAAACTTAACTATAACAAGAAAAAAAAAATCCATCAGTGTGTCCCAAAATGCTCTTCCGGTCAAATATGTTAACCAGAAATGTGCTTTGACTTCACTTAAATGCTGCTGAATGAAGGTAATGTTCTGATGACTGAAAGCGGAAGCAGAATTTTCCATATTGAAGGAGGCAAGGTCCTGGAGATAGCGTGAAATACGTGGAGGAAACTCATCAACGGAGGTTTCAGTTTTGTAGAGACTGCGAGATCTAGCTGAGAGAAATCGTCAAATAGCTGGCAAACAAAAGCCAGTTATCAATTTTTTCCTCAATTTTTTTTCTCTATTCTTTCTAGATTGTACTTTGTGGCACATACAGTATAAATTGATAGTTACTAGTAAGATCTTTTGGAATATTGAATACATATCTTCAGTTTTGAATATTGCATTTGTTAATTTTTTTTTCATCTGAGCTTCCGGACCACCCCTTCAGGCCATGGCCCGTTTAGTTCGAATAACCGGGACTGCACTGTCAGGAAATCTGGCTGAATACTATAACTTGAGAAAAAACAATAATGATTACATCTTTTAACAAGAAGTTTATGCAGTTCACTACCACAAAGACCGTTATCGAAATCATTTGCGAAGTTATCTCAATCAGATTTGTTACTGGGATAGACAGGATGCACTGGACGACGAGTACAGGCATTAATCTGGAGTGGACTTCAAATTCCACGTTTAATATCACGTGTTTTTTTTATCTCATCAAGGATATTGGTTTTGTGCCCTCAATTCCCGATAGTTCCCAGCATTTTAGCAATTTTATCACCACTATTGTGGTTCTGATCGATCGTGAATCACTGGCTCAAGCATTAGGACAATGTATTTTGACGATTGCAGACGGAACGATTCATCGGAGAGATGGCCATCTATCAACAAAGATGGATACACCGAGCGTTTGTGAGCTATGCAAAAAAAGAGCTTTGTAGATTTGCCTCTATTTCAGTATCTTAAAATTCCATATCTGTTGCATAGTTTACTTCATATGAATTTTTAAAAGGCGTTACAGAACTATGAATAAATCTACATTAAAAGAAAAACAAATTCCACACTCAAAAGCTGATATCATAGCTGAGGTCAACTATATTTGCAAACCATTAACTAAATCAATCTATACTTCAGTGCTTTTCTAGAGCCTAACTACACGAGAAAGGGGGCGACGACTTTGTTGATGTTTTATAGCAAGAGTACAATGTTCAATGTTTCAGACATTAGGCCGACAGTGTTTTAAATGTGTAAAATAATGGTGAATTCTCATACAACCATACTGTGTTTTACTTCCTTGTGCGAAGTAAAGGAAGTATTGTAATCACGAAAAATTCTGGGTACCACATTTGAATAAAAATATCCATTTAACATTGCAATTTAACAATGTTTTTGCTTGACATCTGTACATAAGAACAGAATAAAAAACTCTTTTACCCCAAACGAATTATAAAACTGATTTAAAATAGGTTCAAAAGAGATTTTTTTCGTGGCGTAATCATTTTTGAGTTATGCGAGATATCAATGTACGTGCACGTACATACGGCGTCTGTACGTACGTGCGCATGTATGCATATATCTCGCATAACTCAAAAATGATTAGCCTCAGAGTGTTGAAATTTTTTATGTGAGTTTGCTATAATATGTAGATGTGCATCTCCCTTTTTGGTTGCAATCGGCCGCTTCAAAAGTATATAAACACTTGTATATGTGTATCCACTCTGTTACGAACTCAGTTTCTTTATTCTTATATGTTTGTAAATTGTGTATTTTGTGCTTTAAAAATGATTGAATTATGTTGTTCTCATCTTCCGGTTAAGGTTTTTATGCTTTTAGTTAAACTGCATGCTATAGTTGTAAAATTATCAACAGTTTAAAAGTTAATTAAGTGTCGCTAAGCCTAATTGTTTTTACCTCGTTTACATTTGAAATTTAGCAGAATAGTGGATTCGTTGCCAATCCAGAGAAATTAAGCTTCGCAACAACAAAGTAACGTCTTCTTTTATTATTGCGAATTAAATTATGTTTAACCCATTTTGGAATTATCATTTAAGTTATTAAGCTATCTCATATATTGACTCTGCATAGCGTCCACAACAAATTAAGTCAGTTTCTACTCTTCCAGTGTCTTTTTTTCGCGTGGAACCAAAAGTAAACTTTGAGTTTTGTGCACCGAAAAATGTGCCTTCTTGCCCGCTGGCGGAATTGCTTATTTTTGCGCATAAATTGTAATTTTAATTATAATTTTTTTTTAAATTGCTTTAACTGTATTTGTTGGTTTATGTTCTTCTAGATCTTTCAATTTTTAATATAGATATTTTAAGTATTTTTGGCCTTGTCGCTAAGTGAGTACGGAATTATTTGAATGAGAAATGTATTTCTAATGAAATTCGAGGAAATAAGTTTAAATGAAATGCGGAAAAAAATGCGTATAATTTAATATTGCGTACAAGGGAGTCATGTGGCGTACACATCGGATTTTTTAATTTCGGTACCATACTTAGTCAGTAACATTTACGAGTCTTCTAAGCAGATTTAAAATAAGCTCAAGTAAAGTAAAGTATTATGTTCAATATGTTAGATATAGTAAATAAAGTGTAGCGTTGAGTATTTTCAAGTTATAATAGGTTTCCTAGGACTTAACTCTATCTTAAGTAAAGAAGCACTTGTAAGCTAGCAACAAGCTAGTTTACAAGTTAGCTTCCATAAGTTTTAATGGAACAGGAAGATTAAACGTTGAAATAAAGAATTATTCCTTTTAGTAAATTTACCTGCGAGTAGTGCTTGAAACGACTATCTTTGTCTTTAAAGAAGGGCAACAGACAGCAACCTAGAAAAGACAATAAATAATGATCGACTTCCAATTGCAGGGCTGTAGGAATTAAAGTATTATTTCAACATTTAACGAAACAGAAAAAAACCTGAAAAATATGCATCAAGAACATTTCATTAAATCACAGAATCAATTATTCAAAAATAATTTTTCCCTCTATAATATTTTACTGTCCAGCAACAAGGAAGAAGGCCTTCACAAAAAGTCGACTGAAAGAAAACGAATTTATTTAAAAGATTTTGGTTATCGAGGTTTCGGTTAGCTAACTACCATTTCTTCACTCGTTTCATTTTAAATTCGGTCTAGATGCAAAAGTAGTCGCGAAAACATATTGACCATTTGAAGAAGAGAAAATGTCTATGAATAAGGCGCATTACAAAAATTTTGCAAATCGTTTTATCGTTAAAGGAAAGTTGCTCAGTAATAAAGCATGCTATTGAAAATTCCATAAAAAGTAAATTTGTAGCACCTCTACAAGGCACTTTTCAGTATACCGAGATGTCTTGTAGTTGACGATGTAGCGATAAAATGAATATGACATGTGAACATGTGAGTGCATTCATTAAATGACTTTGTAAAATAAAAATGCTGTCCTTTTTTATATACATTCAAATCTTTTTTTAAGAGATAAGAGTTCCCAAAAGCTAACTGCTGCACCTTAATAGATAACTTTATTTAAATATTTGAGTAGCCGAGGTTTATTTCTATGTTGCTGAATTGTAAGAAAACCTTTTTTCCGGTTTTATTTGATTAACTGAACAATAACGCTATCGAGTTCTTTGAGATACTTGAGAGCCAGAAAAGAAGAGATGAACATCAAAGTCTGGGACGAAATAATAAATATCCATAGAAGAAATACAGAAAACATGCATCTCAATTTGAAAAAAAAAAAAAAAAAAAAAAAAAAAAAAAAAATTGTAGTGTCTGGTCCTCCTCAACTTTAATCTTAAAAGTAAGTAGCGGCCTCTGAGCGAAGGAAAGAGTTATTTGGAGACTGGCTTTCGGCGAGAGATGGCGGATGTTCAGTACAGCGTATCAGATAATCAGCGATTCTGTTCTTGTTAGCCCAAATGGTGTTAGCCTAGAAGGGCTATTAATTTCGCATTGACATTTTGCGTTGATTCACTTTTCAAACTGTTGCCACAGTAGCCAAGTAGTACACTCCTGTATTATATTTAAAAAAATTAAATAATGAAGAATCTGCGTGTGTGTATGTTTCTCGCATTGTCATAAAACAACGGTGCTTAGAGTCAACAGATAGAGATAAAACAACGATACCTAATTTTGAAAAACGTAATCCTCCAACGAATATGAACATTTCTCGCCGAAAGCCAGCTCTAATTTGGAATCTGGAATTTGTTTTATTATCTATTTCATATTTTGTTAGACATTAAAGAACTTTAGATTTACAAACTCAACGATTCCAAAGCGAGGAATGGCAACACTGTGCGAAAAATAAAGAACATTGTTATTTCTAGCGCACGAGACTGTGTATCGAAATCCTAAAGATATGCTCATTTTAAAATTATTTTGCGATATTGCTGCTAAACTGAATTTTATGGTTTAAAAGCGAAGAACATGATATTTAATAAATAAAAGTAACACACAAAGGTTAAAAAAATGCCCCTTAAGGCATAATATAAAATCTTTCACATTTTTTTAATATATATCTTTTTGCTTTTGAGTAAAGTGTATATAATTTACTTAGTGTGTTGTAAATCATATACACTTTATTGTAAATACACAGATTATTGTAAATAAAGGAAAAGGGTTAATCTGGGTGTCATTAACTGTATACAAGGCAAGACACTGGCCACAGCTAGATTTTACAAATACACTAGTTACTATTAATTTAGAAGTCAAAGAACAAAAATTAGAGTTATATTTGCAAATTTTCACAGGACTAGTTTCGATGGTTTTACTCAGCCATCATCCTAAGCTGCCCAATTAGGCACCCAACATTATTAATCAAGCATTTAAAAAAATCTCATCTCAACACATCAAAAGCTCACGCTTCTTTTAGGAGAGCCTTAAAATTTGGAGTTCATTAACGTGAGGCATACATTAGGAAAAAGGACACAAAGAAGTCCTCTGTTGCCCAAAACTATTGGTCCGCAAATCACGCTTTCCATTTTTCTGCAGCCAAAATTATTCAAAAAAAGTCTTCCATTGGTGAATTAGATTTTCTAGACGCGTTTCATATTCAAAAAAGAAAAAAATCTCTCAATTATAGTTAATGACCGTAATTCCAATCCATCTTTACCTTCAGCCGCTAAGGAAATTATGTTTTAAGTTTCTTGTTTCATCAATAGATGGCGCCAGTAGCTTATTTCATGCTCAGTCATTCTCTTATTATCTTATCTTTTCACTATATCTTATCTCGTTCATTTGCACTTTGGCAGCTGAGGTTGATGGTTTGGTAAAACTATGGAAACTAGCCTTGTCAAAATTTGCAAATATAACGCTAATTTTTGTTGTTTGATTTCTAAATTAATATTTGATCGTCGTGTTATTTTAACGTAAACAATAGTTACTCTTAATCAATATATCTAAAGAGATTAATATTATTAATTTAGTCTTACTTGATCAATTAAATCAACAACTGTTTCATGAGCTATAATGCAAGACGGCTTCAGAGCTGAAAATCTGTAAGCTATATCTTTAGCTGTTAACATCATACTACCTGGACTAAGAATAAAACCTGGAAAATAAAAAGAAATAATTTAACTCATCACAAACTCCACTGTAATAAAAACAAAAAATTATTACAAAAATCCAGTATTAATGAGAAAGGTGATTAAAGCGCAAATGTTTTCCTAAAATAACTGTAAAAAAGTCATCTTGGAAGTCTTTACTATTTTTGACATATATTTACTTACTTCTAAGCATTGCTTACAATTTAAATACTTAAGTCAGCTTAAAAAAGAATTTATGCTAAAAAATTGCTTAATGCTTGTGAGAAAAATTAATGTGTTTTAGCATTTTCTGAGAGTTCATTCCAAAATGGGCTTAATGTTTCTTAAACTTCCAAGTGCTTATTTGTATTTAAACGAATATTACAGCTTCAAGACAACGAATTTCCCCTGCTTTTAAGATACTTAGATTAACAAAAATGATACATCATCCAAATAATTCTGAATCGAAAAAGGAAATCCAACATGTTTTTAGAAAAATATTGAGAATGGTAAAATATCAAGATGTGAATTACAAATCGAAGGCATCTTATTTTTAATATGAGACTTTAAAAAAAAAAATGGTGCCCAATTTAAATAGTATTTAGGAAGAACAGCTGAACAGGATTAAACTATTTTAGGGAAAAAAACGCCAACTAAAAGACTGTTTATTCAATCAAGTTTAAAAGGAGCTTTCCAGACATTCAAATTACAGTACTTCATCACTTATGGGAAGTGCATTTTCAATAAATTTCATTTTTCTAAAATTTTTAAATTTGATTTCACAGTAAGTGGAGAGAAAAATGTTTTTACTCGCTCTAAACTATCATTTGTAGCATCTTTCTGGTGGTGTTAAAAAAAAAAAAAAAAAAAAAAAAAAGGCTTACGGGGGAGCTAATAACCAGAGGCGTAGCTAAGTTTTAAGCGCCCGCGGACAACTAAAGATTTTGCGTCCCTTTCTGTGTTCCAAGAATGGAAAACGTTTCATTCTAAAACTTATAGCATCAATTTGGCGTGCCTTGGATGCTGCGCCCAGGGACAGATGTTCCCCTTTGCCCCACTCTGGCTAAGCCACTGATAATAACAGATTGAAATTGAAAAATGCTTAAATATTTCCAAGCAAATTATAATGCAAGAGGGGAAATCAGTAACTTGCTGAAGCTGTTGCCTTAAGATAAAGGAAACAATAAAACAAGAATGAAATCTCCATTAAAGACATATTTTTCTGTTGCAGCCAGCAGGCAATAGTCAGGAATTGGAGCTTGAAACTGCCAATGAAGCCTTTGAAATTAAAGGAATTTGTGTACAGATGATTTTGTAAGAAAAATCTCTAAGAAAGGACGCCTTAATCTTACAACAGAAGAAAGATATCTAGTGACAGTCAACTGCTGAATGGGGCAGAAACTATAAAATTCATCAACACTAGACTTTATGTTTAGTAGCGAGACGAGACACGATTTAAACACAAATTCACAGCAGGATTATTTCTATATGGAATAACAAACTCAAATTTTTCCGTCGAGGGCTGAGAATATAAGAATACGTTAATCTTCATTAAGTATCGAGAAATATCGTGTTGAATTAATGCAGGCTCGTACAATTGCCTAGGGAAATTACAATAATTATTTTAAATTATCATTTCTCTTTAGTGAAAATTTCTTGCACAAAGATGACAGATGACAACATTTTGAATAGTATAATGTATCACTTCCGGAACGGATGTTGCATTTTGAGATGTCTTATCTTGGGATTTCTCTTACCCCTGTTAAGAAATACGCATGCCATCAAAATTTAAAAACCATGCAGTAATTTCGTCATCTATTATCGAAATGGACTGAAAAGGAGTTTTTTGTACAGAAAGCAATCTAGTTTTCTATTTTATTTCAGTTAGCATTTATTAAAAAAGAAATATAAATTCGGTTTATTTGAAAGCGAAACAGAGTAGACAATTTGAACGGAGAAAGATATGTTTACCTATACGGATAGCTGCAATATTGACCAGCCAAAATTCAGGCATTTTTGGTAACATAACCATTACGATATCACTTTTCTTCAAGCCACACTGTTTCTCCAACATGCAAGCAGTTCTGTAAAATATAAAAGGAAATAAATAAAGAGAAATTAGATGTTAAGCTTGGCTTTTGGTTTACAACTTGCATATAATTATTTATTTTCATCTTAAAATCTGTATAATTATCTGTTTTAAATTATATTTTTAATTCTAGAAGCAAACAAGACTTGAACTGAAAACAGTTTTAAGCACAATTACAAATGGCATTTTTAAAAGATAAAATCCAAACACTTGGGAGGGAAAAGATTGTATTTGATAAGGAGGGATTTGATTGTGTTTGCATTTACTTTTATGAAAGAGAGCCCAGTGTTAGAAATTAAAGTGCTAAACTCAGATTCCTCGTTTTACATAGGTTAACTTTTAAGAATTACACCAGAAAAATTTTATTTTCACCCTAAGTTTTGGAATTTTTGAAAATATTCGGTTGTTTTCGAAATTTCTTAAAATAATACATTTACACTCTTTTCCAACACAAAATGAAATTTTTCTGTTTTCTTTTACATTTTATTTACTTCTCCGTAAGATAATAATTCCTCTAAAAAACGGTGTAATAGTTAACGGAAGCTGATTTTAGCCCGAACTGTAAGATAGGGTTCCACTCACAAGTCTCTGTTATTTGAGTGCATCCTTCCGCCCTTTTCGCGGATGTAATATCGTTCTACCTCTTGTGGTGTACTCTGAACAACATTCTCGACGACGAGACAGCTGAATGGTTGGTAGCTGGTCGCTTTCCAAGGAATACATTCAAGAAAGTGTCTGACTCCTGAAGGGAAAAAATTGTTTCTGTCTTTGCATCTGTCGTCCGTTTGTTTGCAAAATAAAAATTAAATTAAAAAAAAAAAAAAAAAAACTGTATGGAATGTATTACATCGATTCTTAAGAATCGATAAGCCAATTCAAATAATACCTTGAACTCTTGACTAGTTGTGTTAATTCACAATGGGCGGATAATTGGAAAATATAGCTAACGTTAAAAGATCACAGTTAACACCAAATAGCGTTTAAAAAGCGTTCTTTAAAGATATCAAATGAATGATGTAGAATGTGTTGCTTAAAATAAGTTTTAAGGAAAATCAAAATAAAATTTGCATAGAATTTTAGTTTTCCTTACGAAAAAAAAAAAAATGTGTAATATTCCTTTTTATTTTGTGTAATATTAATGCCTTGATGATATTCTTTCAGGCAATATATCAAGAATGGTTCAAAGCAATGATATTATTAATTTTTATCTCAGTTTATCTACATTTGTAGTATGTAATTCAATCTTATCTCAGTTTATCTACATTTGTATTTGTTTTGTTATTTACATAAATATTTCTCTATTGCTCCTTTGCTTACCGCCAATCACTGCTGGTATTTTATTCTCTTTTGGGCGCTGTTCTGTTGCATTCTTCTGAATCACTGCAGCAAGAATATTTGGTTTGACAAAACTTCATCACTAACATTTTCCTTCACCCACACTTACGTATTTCGGCGCATGCTTTTTCAAACCAATGAATTTCAGACAGAGCTTATAAATTGCGTCGGCTCCGGTACTTCTCAGTTTTCGAGATAAATTATAATTTCAGTCGGAGCGCATCGAAGCCCTAAATCGACACTTATTTTATGCAAGTGAACCACAATTTTAATAGATAAATTTTGTTTTAATACTAAACGTGCTTTAAAAATCAACTCTAACTTCTTAATGTAGGCCTGTCTTTCTTTCGCATTCAAACCTTGAGCAGAGGTTGAGACTTTTAAGGAAAGAAAAGCCTGCAATTATATTATTCTCCAGGATGTGCAATGAATTTATGACAACGGAAAAATTTTGTGTTCCTCAAAGTACTAAAAGTGATGCCCTGGTCTTGCATGTTCCACGCTAGTTACTTCCTATTGCAGAATTCCTGTAGACTTTCTGAATGATGTAACCAAATGGGGGCTGCCACTGCTGTCACTTGTACAGAGAAGTCTTATGATTTCTCCTTGTCGGTTAGAATTATATCGACAGGGCATCGTGATAAAAAAGTCTTGATCTCTTACCCCTCTTTTTTTCTCTTACTCTCTTCCTCTTCTCTCTCTCTTTATCTAGAATTCTCATGATTCTTCTTAGTCGAGGTTTAATCGTTTTTATCTTTTTTAGTTGGTGTGCTGCAAAAAAAAAAAAAAAGAGTGGTGCCGGTCATCCCTTGGAACATTATACATATAATGAAGGCTTTAATTCAGACAGAGATTTTCCTCTATTTCCCTGCGGCATGTATCAACATTCATAAATTCATTTCTTACTTTTATTTTTAGAATTATATAATCAGTAACCAAATATTAATCTGTATCAAAACAAAGATGCCATAGCAAAAATATTAAGATTTGTTGGAAAGTTCAATAAACCAAAGATAAAAAGCAATTTCATAGCAGCAACAAGACAAATATATACTTATCAAATTTGCTTATCTAGAAAAGAGATAACCGATGCGTACATAGGGGATAGATTAGCAAAGAACACATTGCACAGACTGAACAAAGTGTACTTCAGTAAAGAACATAAATAACTTAAACAGACAGTCCGTATGTGTACAGTAGAAGAAAAAGAAAAAAGCTTGTTAAAAAATTCTTCAAACTATATTTGTGAACACTGCCGGACTCTTAATGTTAAGCTAATAAAAATTACTGAATTTTGGTAATTTGATTTCGGATTTTGATCACCAAGAAAAAGATTTTTTTTGCAGTCGTTTGAAATTATAGTAAATTATATTAAATATCAGATATTAAGTTCGGAAACATATTACCATTGTTAACGTATCAGTGCAATGTCAGTATTATGTGCATGGGAATTAGAGAAGATTTACCTCATTGTTTCTCGCTGAAAATCTTGAAAGCTCCATTTCAGTTGTCGTCCATCTTCAAATGCAAACCAGAATGCTGGTATTAAGTTACTTCTCTCTCCTGTCTAACGAATTAAAATCTAAGCGCATAAAGTAATGAAAATGCACTTTAAAAAATCTTTAGGCAAATTCTTTTTAAAGCACTATAAAATATTTCTAATATTAATCTAATGTATTATTATCTAATATATATTATATTAGATTAATATAAGAAATAAATATTATTTAATGCACTATAAAAATACTTACGAAATTAATTAATTTATAAAAATACTTATAAAAATACTTAAAAATTTTACTTATTTATTCAAGACTCATTACATCTGTACATGATCCACCATTGCTGATTTTCATGTATTTTAATTACTAATATACTGGTTCTTTTCTAGTCTAAAACCATCTTGAATTATTTTTACTTAGATAGCCAAACACTAAAACAGCAAAATTTAAAACATTAAAAATTGCATTCACTTTGAACAGACGATAACTGAACCTGGTTGTAAACGTGTGTTGTTACTTTCTGATTACTCCTTTAAATCTTCATAACACAATTAATTATATTTAAATATTAAAAAAAGGAATTCATTACATTTCATTTAGAATTGCATTCATTTAATGCATTAATGTACACTATTCTTTTTATTGCTCATGTAGTAAATATTTATGAGATTAAAGTAATACTAAAATGATTATATTTTCTGCTTCATAAATATTTACTGTTCAAATTTTATTTTTTACCAGCATTTCCTATTTAGGTATTTTGCATAATGAAACTCGAAAGGCATACGAAACGAACGTGCGCCAAGATATATATTGGCGAGAGAAAGTACAGTTCGTGAGCAATGCAGTATATTTGATTTTTCACCTTAGCTACTTGTACCTGGCCAAAGGTCTAATCCAGTAGTACTTTCTTCTCTTTCAGATACAGTGTTAAAGTATGTTCCTGTTGTTTCTTTTTCTTATTGCCTAAAATAGGTAAGCCTGATGATATTTAGGACTGATGAAGATTCTATGTTAAGACTGATGAAGATTCTAAGTTATCTTCTTTTCAGTACTTCAGTGCTTTAATGTCTGTGAAGATTATTACTTTTGTTATGCTTAAGTTAAGCAATATTATCCTATTTTATTAAATAAAGATTTCGTAGTTAAAATTTTTGACTTATGATTCTTTAATTCTGTGCTTGAGGAAACGTACTCATTACGCCTTCAGTGCTAATGCACAACCAACAAAAGATTATGAGACTGATTACGAAATTCTAAAATTGAAATTTTGTAATGTTGTAAGATTCCAGGGTCATAAAGTGTTAAAACTCTTTGTTGAAAAAAAAAAAACTAGTTACAAAGTTTATGTAAGATTCCAGGGTCATAAAGTGTTAAAACTCTTTGTTGAAAAAAAAAAAAAAAAAAAAAACTAGTTACAAAGTTTATAAGAATAATTGTAAAAAATAATAATGTCTATTCTAAAAGAATCAATTTGTATAGAAAAGTTAACAGATGAAAATTATTCAGTGTAGAAATTTAAAATAAAACATCTTCTAATAAAAGAAGGTTTAGATGATGTTGTATTCGAAGAAAAACCGGAAAATGATACTGATATTTGGTTAAAGAATGATCGTAAAGCTAAAGCTTTAATATCTCTAAACATTTCGGATTCGCAAATTATCCATGTTTTGCATAGTAAATCTGCAAAAGAAGTTTGGCAAAAGTTAAAATGTGTCCATGAACGTGTAAATTTAACAAATAAGTTATTTCTTCTTAGAAAACTATATTCCATTAGATATAATGAAAGTTCTAAAATGCAGGAACATATCAAAGGAGTACTAGAATTGGCTGAAAAGCTGCGTAGTATAGGTGAAGAAATTAAAGAAAATAACTTAATAGCAATATTACTATGTTCTTTACCAAATTCATACAACTCCTTAATAACTGCAATAGAAAGTAAATCGGAAACTGAATTGTGGCTAGAATATGTTAAAAACAAACTAATAGATGAGTATTGTAGACGTGTGGAAACTAAGAAAGTTCAAAAATACGATTCAGTTGCTTTAAAAAGTAAAAGCGAAAATAAATCACGATATTGTACTTATTGTAAAAGAAATAACCACACGATAAATGACTGTTTTCATTTAAAACGCAACGCTAGAACTTCCCCGAAAACAGATGTAAATAATAGTAAAGTAAGAAATTATTCTCAAAATTATAAAAGTAATGCATGCCAAATAGCAAATACGCAAAGAGTAGAAAACATAACAAAAAGAAAATAAGTATCTTAAAAGTACTGAAACTGAAAATTCGCAGATTCAGTTTAATCAAGTTCTAAAAGTGGAAAATAAACATGAAAACACGCAAACGCAAGAATGGGTTATCGACTCAGGAGCCTCAACTCATATGACGAGTGATAAGAATTTTTTCTCTCAGTTAAATGACTCTAATAAACAAATAGTAACTGTAGCCAATGGTGCTAAACTAAATTCGTATGGTATTGGTAAAGGTTATTTTAAAGTTCAAAACTTAAAGGGTCAGGTTACACAAATAAAATTAGAAAATGTATTGTATGTACCAGGTTTAGATAGTAATTTACTTTCTGTTCAATCTGTTACGAATAAAGGTTGCATTGTTACATTTGATAGTAATAAGTGTTACGTAAAGCGTAACAATATACTCGTAGCCCACGGCAACGCTCAGCAAGGTTTATATAAATTGATCGTAAACTCAATTGACGAGAAAGCATACTTAGCTAATAATGTTTCATGTTCAAATACGAACTGTATACTAAAATGGCATCAAAGATTAGGCCACAGAAATATAGATGCCATAAAAACACGTGAGAAAATGATTTGGCAGACGGCATTAAACTTGGCAAATGCACTCATAGTGTGGAATGTTCTACTTGTGTAAAAGCGAAACTAACTGAAACACCTTATCCCAAAACTAGTTTTAGATCTGGATTTAGATCTAAAAATCCACTGGATTTAGTGCACACAGATGTGTGTGGGCCAATTGAAGTCAACAGCTTAGGAGGGAAAAGATATTTCGTAACTTTCATTGATGACTATTCGCGTTATACTCAAATTTATTTTATTACTTCAAAAGATGAAGTATTCGACAAACTTAAACAATATGCTGCATCGACAACAAATTAAATTTAGAAAGAAAATCAAGGTTCTCAGATCCGACAACGGTACAGAATACTGTAACGAAACTACTGAAAATTATTTAAAGAAACTTGGTATTTTCCATGAAACTTCGGTTCCTTATTGTCCGGCACAGAACGGCGTCACAAGGAAAAATCGCTCTTTAATAGAAATGACAAAAGCTATGCTAATAAACTCTAAATTACCGAAAGGATTCTGGGCTGAAGTAGCGGCTACTGCCGCATATCTTCAAAATAGGTTACCAACTAAAGCCACAGATAGAACACCATATGAATTGTAGAATGGTAGAAAACCAAACTTAAGTCACTTACGAGTATTTGGCTGTAAAGCGTTTTATTACGTGAACAAACAAAAACGGCGTAAATTCGACAACAGAGCCGAAGAAGGACTATTCGTAGGATACGATTTACGAAGTAAGGGATACAGGATTTATGTAGGTGGAAGGAAAATAATAGTAAGTAGAACTGTTAAATTTTCAGAAAACGCGTCTTTAACTGACAAACATGCAGAAAATAATGCTGAAGATTTAAAATTAATTCACTTCAATAACTCGCAAGAAGATGAAGAAAATAATGAAGAAACATCTCTTGGCGATGATTTTACAGAAGATTCAAAAAGTTCCGAAGAGTTAATTAAATGTGAAGAAAATGTAGAAAGAAGGGTTTCTAGCAGACCAACCAAAGGGGGGTCCCACCGGAAAGATTCTTATAAAGCAGAAGACGAAGAATCAATCTTACCTAAAAAAAAGATCCAGAAAGCTTTGAAGAAATTCTAAACTTACCAAAACGTGAACAAGAAGCTTGGATCAAGGCTATGCAAGAAGAAATACATTCTCTAAAAGAAAATGAAACCTATACACTTACAGAATTACCACCAGGAAAACATGCAGTAGGCAGCAAATGGGTGTTTAAGACAAAATATGATGAAACTGGTAAAAATATAAAATACAAAGCACGCTTATTAGCCAAAGGATTTACTCAAAAATACGGCAGTGATTATGATGAAACTTTTTCACCAGTAGTGAAACACACTACAATAAGAGTTTTCTTAGCATGGGCAGTGTATAATAATGCCAAGGTACATCAACTAGATGTTAAAACAGCCTTTTTGTGTGGCAACTTAAATGAAGAAATATATATGGAACAACCAGAAGGATTCGTTATTCCAGAAGAAAGACATAAAGTTTGTAAATTACAGAAGTCGATTTATGGTCTCAAACAAGCAGCTAGGTGCTGGAATGCAGAAATTGAAAATACATTGAAGAATCTTGGGTTCAGTCAAAGCAAAGCAGATCCGTGTCTTTTCACAAAAGTGGTTCGTGATAAAAGAATTAATTTAATATTATATGTTGATGACATCTTAATAAGTTCTACAGAAGAAGGACTAATTCTTCAAACAATTAATGATTTAAAGAAACGTTACCAAATAACGCATCTTGGTGAAGCTAAATATTTCTTAGGCATGGAAATAAATCGCAAGCAAGATGGAAGTTATCTCTTATCACAGAAAAATAAAATAAATCATCTTGTCAAGCAATTTCATCTTGAAGAAGCGAAACCCGCTAGCACACCAATGGAAACAACTATTATAACCTAAACAAGGAAGAAAATCTTCTAACTCCAAATGATAAATTTCGCCAAGCTATTGGAAGTCTCTTGTATATATCGTCTAGCACAAGACCAAATATCACAGCTTCCAACTCACATACTTCAGCAGAAGAGTGTAATAATTCCACGTCAAAAAGGACTGGAATGCTGGATTAAAAGAAATCATTAGATACTTTAAAAACACGACAAAGAATTTATCCTCTACAAATTTCGTTCGAGTGAAGAACCTAATCTTACAGTTTATTCAGATGCTGATTGGGAACAAGATACTGAAGATAGAAAATCTACATCAGGAAGTGTTAT